CACACACACACACACACACACACACACACACACACACTCACACTCACATACACGCTCTCCCACTCTCTCTTCACAGCTGCATTACAGTAAGAAAGGAAAGATGAAAGTACATACAAGCAGACGGTGAGACAGGGAAACAGCCGGGATGAGGGCCAGCAAAAACAAAAAGGAAAGTTAACTGTTGGAACAGAAGCTGAAAGACAAGGCCAAGGAGAAAATCTGCACCTGAAATGAATTTCTGTAGGTGAAGCAATGTGCCCAGTGGAGAGGATCAAAACAGGGAGTGCCCCTAGTCCCCCCAACAAACAGCAGTGGCAGAAGACACTGCCAACAACAACACCACTTCTCAAGGAACCTGGGGTGTTTCCAGCATCCCCAAGGTCACAATGGACACCTCAATCATAAAACAGCAGCAAGATCTGGGCAAATTCCTGGGCTTGAGTGCACAGCTCAGGCCCACCCACACTTGGGCAAGGCCCTTGCCTTACAGTAAGACGCCTGTGGGCTGCAATAATATGCACTCACCTGGAGCTCTTTCATGGGAGAACACAGCTACCAGTTTACATCCCTACCAGACAAAACACATAACAGATGCAACTTTTAAAGGCTGGAATACATGTATAAGCATTACTATGGCATAGAGTATGAGTGTCTTCATTTATTTAACTATTTCTTCTTTTTTAAAGATTTACTTGTTAAGCCAGGCATGGTGGCATACGCCTTTAATCCAGCACTCAGGAGGCAGAGGCAGGCAGAGCTCTGTGACTTTGAAGCCAGTCTGGTCTACATAGTGAGTTCCAGGCTAGCGGGGACTATAGGGAGATCCTGTCTCAAAAAGACCAAAAGAAAAAAAAAAAGGATTTATTTATTTTATTTTGTACGTGCGCCTGAGTGTATGTATGTGCATCATGTGTGTGCAGCGCCCAAGGAGCCAGAAGAGGGCATCAGATTCCCTGGAACTATAGTTAAAGGCAGCTGTGAGCTACCTGATGTGGATGCTGGGGACTGAACCCAGATCCTCTGCAAGAGCAGTAAGTGCTCCTAACCACTGAGCTATCTCTCTAGCCCCTATTTCTTAAATGTCTAATCTGGCACAGACTATTTCTAGTACCTCTCAGAATAAGCAAAAGTGAGAGATACAGAATAAAAATTTCCCAAAAATGCTGCCATCTGTAGGTTGCGATGCTTTCTCTAACGTCTTGATGTGAAGAAAAAGAGGAGTCCTCAAAAGCCACAGCGTCCTAGCCTGTGCTCAGCCGGGCCCCTCACTGGTCCTGTCTCCCAGATTCTCACATTTGGGTAAAATATGGAATTTTTTCCATTAATTTAAGAACAGTAAGGTTTTTTTTTTTAAACCAGCATAGTATTTTTCCCTGAAAAAAAAAAAACCCAGTCATTTTTCAACAAATTCATATGCTTTGTAGAAGCCCAAGCTTTTTCTAAAATTCTTGCAGATCTGCTTGAGGCTTATGAAAACTCTGTAATTTTCCATGTAGGAAAATACTGAACAATAGAAAACTTTCAGTGCTCTTGCCAAAAATGTGGATTTAAAAAAAAAAATCATTCTCTTCAGTGCAGGGAGGGATTGAAATATGACAAGTGATCAACTTTCAGCCCCACTGATGGGCCTTCTCTATGCTTTATATTCAGAAGACAATATTCTGCTTTTTGGAAGATCAACTTGACAACCACTGCATGGGTTTCCTCCAGCTCCTCCAGCTACATAGTTTAATTCCACACCAATGATGTGGATATTCCAAAATATATTATTGTCATCATATTTGACAAAAATCAGATACACACACACACACACAAACACACACACACACACACACAGCATCTGCCTTGCCTTCAAATTACAAGTAAATTATAAGATGGCTGCAAAACCATCAATCTATCATCTTTAAACATAACTAAACGACTCCTTTTTCAAAACTACTAGGGAAAACAAGCTCTTAGAACTCTCTATGATTCTTTTTTCAGAAATAAAATAAAGTAGCTGGCATTTATTTTTTACGTTATCCTTTCTGTCTAGTACCTATTCTTTCTTCAAAATCATAAACTGTACATACGCTCCCAGAAATGGAATCCTAAAGAGGACACAATTTCACCCATGAGTTTTTCCAACCAAGAATGCACAATCTGAGTCTAATCATGACAAAACATCCAAAAAGCCTAAAGTGATGGATATTCTCTTTTTTATATAAAGAAATATATTCTTCAAAAATACCAGTATCATGAAAGACAAAAATCTATAAAAATGTTTCATATTAAAGGAAACAAGAGAAATGTGATCATGGACTGTGTTATGTAATCCTAGAGGGGAGCTTAGAGTAGAGGAGAAAAGATGCTTCCATAAAGGACATTTCAGGTCTGTTGAAAAACTGCATTATGGGTACCAAAAACCATAAATATACTATAACTATGTTGAATAAGCTCAAGCTAACAACTGCACTAAGATATGATGACAAAATGTTCCTATTCTTAGGAATACCCAATGAAGCATTAGAGGTAAATAGATCATAGTCAATGCAATTTATCCTCAATGGTCCAGAAAAATAAGGAAGCAAATGTGTCAGCAAATAGTAATTCAAAGAGGGTAAAATGCTACCAATAGGCACACCTGGGTTGAAGGCAGTAAGGATGTTCTTTGTGATAGACTTACTCTTAAATCTTGCCTATGAGCTTTAAATTATTTACCCCCAAAGTTTAAATATTTAAGATAGACTATAAAATCTTGACTAGATATACTTGCATTTGTATGTTTGGCTTTGAGGTTTTTCTTAAGAAAATACATTTGTTGTCAAGAAAGCTTTAAGAGGGCTGGAGAGATGGTTCAGTGGTTAAGAGCACTGACTTGGTTCCCAGCACCCATTTGGCAGCTAACAGCTATCTGAGACTCCAGGGGACTCAACACACTCTTCTGGCCTCCATGGGTACTGCACGACATGGTTGTACTTATATACAAGCAAGCAAAACACTCACACACATAAAAATAATCCCTTTATAAGAAAACTACACGATAGGAGCAGGGATATAGCTCAGTTGGTAGAGCACTTACCTAGTATGCAGAAGGTCCTGGGTTCAATCCCCAGCACTACATTAAACCAGGCACAGTGGTACACCATGTAATCTCAGGATTTGGAAAGGTAGAGGCAGGAAGATAAAAAATTCAAGGTCATTCTCAACTACATAGTGAGTCAGAAGTCAGCCTGAGCTTCATGAGACCTTGTCTCAAAAAACAACAAAAAAAAACCACATACTACACTATACTTCCTCAAACCTGGTGGACTGAGATTGGGCTGTATGATCTCTATGCAGCTGTGGTTCTCCAATTGGAGCACGCATCAGCCGGACTTGCTAAAATGGACTGCTGGGCCCTAGTCCCAAAGCTTCTGCCTTGGGGGTCTAGAGTGGGAACTTATAACCAACATTTCTGACAAGCTCCCAGGTACTTCTGAAGATGCAGGTCCAGACCACAGCTTAGGAACACTGCTATGAACTGCAATCCAGGTCACTCAGTTTGGGATGCTTTCTTAAAGTTAAAAGAAACAGAATGGTTTTGGTGACCTAATAATAGCACTAATCTTTATTATACAATCTAGTTACACATCTTCAATTTTGTGAAGCAATTTTGAGGGTGAAAAGACATCAATTGGTAACCAAGATAAGATTGCCCTAATAAGCATCACCAACCTGTGCATTTAATCAGGAAAGTTAAGGTCATTAGAACTTATTGTCTTTTTCCCTTTTTTCCATTTTCCTTTCTTTAGCTAGAAAACTTCCCACTTGGGGATGGGGCAGAATTAAGATCACTTCTCTTTCCTCAGTTCCTGTGAAACTAGATGATGTTTCATTAAGGAAATTATATATTCATGGCACATACAAATACAAGGACATGTGTTCTAAAGGGGGAACAGAACCTCTATTCTCTTCCTTTAAGAATGACAGAGTAGGGGCTGGTGAGATGACTCAGAGGTTAAGAGCACTGACTATTCTTACAGAGGACCTAAGGTTCAGTTCCAGCACCTACGTGGCAGCTCACAACCATCTGTAACTCCAGTTCCAAGGGATTCAGTGCCCTCCTCTGACATAGGGAGGCATTGCAGTACACAGGCGCATTTACACACATGCAGCCAAAATACTCATACACATAAAAAAATTTTTTTGAAGAATGACAGAGTACATTCTCTGTACTCTGTACTTCTAAATAGCCACTGTTTCCTCCTGATTTATGGCTAGAATATGGACAGAGATAAATCAGAAGTAGCATCCAGAATCATGAGGTAACCTCAGGAATGAAGCTCACAAACAGGACATCATGAAACTGAAGCAGCCTTAGCCCCTGTTGCTGTGTCTGTGCCCACTAATCCTCAACTATAGCTCTGAGGGTAAGGTAATCTAAATACTAACAGAAAAACTCAAAACAACAGAAGCAATATGCCAGAACTTCTGAAAACACCTCCCTTTCTAGAGCCCCTGTAACTAACAGAGACACAGCACTGGAATAACTAAGATTGGGAGGGTATTCTGGCTTAGCTGAAGAGCTCAGATAAATATGTGCTGGGTTCTCAGTCTGAGGATACTGTGACCTTCATCAGAAACAATAGCAATGCTCTCAGATTGCTTCTAAAGACAATAACCAGCAAGTCCAGAAAATACATTGCTCAATCTCCAACCTCAAAGCAGATTTTATGCCAAAATTCTTTGTCTATCTTTTAATTTTTCGTAACTCAGAAGGGTATTTTCTAAGGAAACAATGGCATTCAAATTCCTAGATTAGCACACCGACTGTCTAGCTTTCATTGGCTCATGTTTTCCCCAAACAATCATAAGAACATTTACCAATGTACATTTTTCCAGCTCTAAGTTTTTGAGCTTTCTTTCCTCTAAGTCTTTCTCTGCCTATCTGTCCTGCCTCTTTGACATAGTTATATCCATCACAACTTCCAAAGATGGTGTCTACTGACCTCAACAGCATAAATGCTTCAAGCCATCATCAATAATCTCATCCTGAAAAACTGTATATGTGCTAATTTTGGGGGGTTTTAAATTTATTTTATTATATTTTATTTTTACTACTGTTGTATGTATGCATATGTATTTGTGTGCACATGCATGCACCATGGCACATATATGGAGGTCAAAGGACAACTTTCTAGAGTTGGTTCTCTCCTTCTGTAGTAGATCCTGAGGACTGAAGTCAGGTAGTCAGACTTGTGTGGCAAAGGCTTTTACCCTCTGAGTCATTTTGCTGGCCCTCAACTTCATGAATTTTGTGTATCTTAAATAAGTCTAAGGAAAAAGCTTTTATTTTTGTCATTTAATATTTAATACCAGTACTGTCATTTGAGTACAGTACTGAATATTACTTGAGAGAAGCCAGGAAAGCAAGCAGTAAAGGGATGGAGAGATGGCCTAGAGCACTGGCTGCTCTTCCAGAGGATCTGAGATTGGTTCCCAGCATCTACATGTTGGCTCACAGCTGTCTATAACTCCAGCTCCAGGGGATCCCTGGCCTCCTCTGGCATTGCACTGATGGATGCACTTACATGCATGCAGGAAAAACACACATACATATAAAATAAATAACATATATTCATGTATGTATTTATACATGTCAGCGGTAAGTAAAATGTACAACTAAAGCACAGACTGCTTATTTTTTTCATTGCTCATTCCTTGGAGACATTAAGGGTAAATGTTGAAAAAAAGACTGTGTACAGCAAAATTGGCATTAGCTAGCAGACTGTATCAAGGCCAGTTACAGAAGAAGGGTGGTAAATGTGCCCTCAGGTGTCACTTCGTGGTTTTTTGGGTTTTTGTTTTTTTTTTTTTTTTTTTTTTTTTTTTTTTTTTTTTTTTTTTGTCTTAACTGAGACCAAAGTTCTTTTTTTTTTCCTTTTAGAAGCCTCTCATTCTTTTCGAAGATTAGAAAAATAAATATTACTCTGACAATATGGCAGGCTATAGAAATGATTTCTGGACTAGCAGAATAAGTGGTTAGAGTAAGTAATAACTGGAAAGCAGGTGTGGTGTCACATCCTTGCAATCCCAGCACCTGTGAGGCTGAGGTAATTGTTAACTGAGAACCAAAAAAGTGAGACCTACTGTGGTTATATAATTTTTAATCCCAATTCACGGGCTGGAGAGATGGCTCAGCAGTTAAGAGCACTGGCTGCTCTTGCAGAGGACCAGGGTTCAGTTCCCATCACCCATATGGCAGCTAACAACTGTCCGTAATTCCAGTTCAAGGAAATTCAATGCCCTCTTCTTACCTCCACAGGCATTACACTCTTACCACACATGCAAGCAATACACTCATACTCATTTTAAAAAAGGATAAATATTTTTAAAAGAAAATGTTAAAAAAGCATTTAATTTCAATTCAATGTTTTATTCTTTAATATTAAGTTGTACAAAATAAATACTAGCAACTCCAAACTCATTTCCAAATATGGAAATTCCAGATTTCCCAAGTTGGGAAAACTGACTCAAATAATTTTAAAAACTACATAGAATACCATAAACAGAAATGTATTGAGGCTGGAGAACTGGAGGCAACTCAACACCTGACTGTTAACAAGATTTCCACGTAGCTGAAACCCCAGTTCAATCTGAGCTGAGCTGTGAAAATGGAATCTGACATAGTCTACACCAGGGAATGCAGGACCCCATCAATATTTTTATGAGTAATTCCACTTTAAAATTACAAAATAACCAAAAGTGAAAACTTAGAGAGGACTGAAAATCAAAAGAAAATGAAAATATGAACCTAGAAAGGAATTAATATTGTCAATCACCACGTAGAGATAGTACAGAAGAGGAAAGTATTTTCCCATATTTGAGCATCCAGACAGGTTAGCTCACTAATGCTCAGTGAGAAGCAGAGTTACAAGTTACATAACTAGAGCAGGTTCCTGTCTCACAGATAGAAATGAATAACACTGGGGCTAGAGAGATGGCCCAGTGGTTAAGAGCCCTGACTGCCCTAGCAGAAGACCCAGGTTCAATTCCTAGCACACACATGGTGGCTCCGTACTATCCTTAACTCCAGTTCCAGAGGAATCCAACACCCTCTTCTGAACTCTGCAGCATTGCACAACACGGGTACACTCACATACATGCAGACGATATACTCACCATAAAATAAAAATAATAAATTTTTAAAAAAGAAATGAATTAACACTGCTGATAATCCCTAAAAGAAAGCTATACTTGGTGCATTGTTCAGCTGAGCATACCACCCAAGGTAAATTCTTGTACCTTCATAAGAATGAGGGCTGGAGAGAGAGTTCAGTGGTTAAGAGTGCTTGCTATGTACCTCGAGGACCTGGATTCAGATCCCAGCACCCACACAACAAGCCAGGAGTAGTCTTTCACATGCCTATAACCCCTGCACTGTGAGGGGTGGAGACAGGAGTATTGTTGGGGCTTGCTGGGTGCCAGTGTAGCTGGAGAACACGAGCTCCAGGTTTAGTGAGAGACCCTGTCTCAAAGGAGCAATGTGGGGAGTGGTAAAGAAGAACACCTGATGACCTTGCCTAGTCTCCACAAGCACAGAAGCATACACACCAGCAGAGAGAGAGAGAGAGAGAGAGAGCGAGAGAGAGAGAGAGAGAGAGAGAGAGAGAGAGAGAGAGAGAGAATAAGTATGAATAAGCTCCAGAATATAATGAAGAGAAGACCTTTCTTGCTGGGAGGCCCAGACAAACACACTGACGCTCCACTTGCAGGATCTTTTATTTTGCAGTGCTGTACTCCCTTCAAGTTAAGTCAAAAGAAAGAGACTTTCCTTACCTTGTCTTTTAGTTTCTCCATCCAGCTTCTCACTAAGAAAAATAAGAGAATAAGATGTAAACAGCCATCTTTTACTTATATTTCATAGCACTGCTACACTGAAAGGGTTTGTATGAAATATAACAAGTATCAACAGTATTAACGTAATGACAGTAATGGTCTAGTTTTTATTCCCACTTATTTAGAAATGCAACTGAGAACACAAACATCCCTCACGTCATTATTAGATTTGTTTGCTAAATGGTTTTCTATTATTATAAAATGTGTCAGAGAAGGCCTGGGGAAAGAGGCAGGAAATCATCTTCAAGGTTTTGTATTCATTTTCTTCTCTGACAGTTTTTCTTTCACCTCATGCCTCATTGTTCCTGGGTTTTAGGATCAATGAGAACTCTGCACTTGAATCAGTGTCAGATAGCTGAGAACAGGGGAGGAGAGGGCAATGGGCATGCCAGGGCACCCTGTCTCTGGCTCCAGTGAGAAGCAGTGCAGCCGTGTTTGAAGAAGAAAGAATGGGACCGGGGAAAGACCCTCGTGTCTTCATGAACTGGGCATTCTATGACAACATAGATAATACACCACCATTGATAATACAAGTAAGAGTTAGGGGGTTGGGGATTTAGCTCAGTGGTAGAGTGCTTGCCTAGCAAGCACAAGGCCCTGGGTTCAGTCCTCAGCTCCAAAAAAAAAGACAAAATAACAAGTAACAGTTAGGGAAGGGCTGGGGCAGCTAGGTGCTTTTATGCAGATCCCAATTACAAGCATTTAGAGTCCTACAAATAAGGAGAAGGAAGCACCAATCGAAATGAATGAGTTAGAATGGCAGGGGAGGGTGGCTTGAGGTCGGTGAAGGACATTTTACTTTTCACTGACTTTTATTGTTATAATTGTGCTCCAATAATGAATGTTATTTAAGCATTAAAAATGAGGAGGGAGATAAATGTGTTTTCATTTTATCTGTATTACTAAGCAAAAGAAGTCAGCTAGAAAAAAAAAAGAAAGAAAGAAAGAAAGAAAGAAAGAAAGAAAGAAAGAAAGAAAGAAAGAAAGAAAGAAAGAAAAAAGAGATTTCTTTGAACTAACTTTCCTCTCTGGGAGCTTCAACAGATAGAACAGATACAAGAGAGCTGCCATTTTTTCTTACAGAGCCAGAAAGCGAATATCTGAGGCTTTGTGTGGCCAACAATCTTTCGCAACTACTCACGTCTGCTGCCATAGTGCAAAAGTAGCCACAGACGGTGCATAAGCCGATGAGCTCAGTTGTTCTAGAAAACTTTATCTACAGACACTAAAATCTGAATGTCATGTAATGTTCATATGTCATAATATTTTCCTTTTTCCGATCATATTAAAATGTAAACAAAGGGCTGGAGAGATGGCTCAGTGGTTAAGAATACTGATTGTTATTGCAGAAGACCCGGGTTCATATCCCAGAACCCACACGGCACCTAACAACTGTCTATAACTCCAGTTCCAGGGGATCCAATAGCCTCCTCTGACCCCCACAGGCATTTCATGACATGGATGCACTTACCTACATGCAGGTAATACATGCATATACATAAAAAAAATGATAAATAAAATTTTTTTAATGTAAAAAAAAAATTCTTTGCTCACAAGGCCAGAATTAGCCATAAGACGTAATTTGAGACCCTGGAATAAGCATATTATACTCAAGAAGTCAACACCTCCACTTACAACCTGGATAATATAATAATGTATCTGCCTGCACTGGTGAAGGCCGGCATGGCATGACTACCTCTTACAAAGCCCCACCACATGCATTGTGTCATTTGACCGGCAAGATGACAACCATGAGAGTCAGGTAAGATTATGCCCACAAACCAGGTGTGCCTCATACCTGTAACCCTAGCATCCAGGAGGCTGAGGCAAGACGAGTGCTTCAAGTTTAGGGCCAGTCTGGGCTATGAGACCTTATCTCAAAAAGACAACATAAAGAGAGATTATGCTTGTGCTCGTAGAAAAGAAGGAGAAATTGAGGCTTGGGGAAGCTAAGAGACACCTACAGTCATCCCAAGACTAGTCACAGGACCCGGCCTGACTTCACAATCTAGGAGTGAGACACCCTGCTCCCCAGCTCTTTTGGTAGCACCTACTCTTCCGCTCACTCGGGATGCAAATGTGGAGATAGCTTTGACTGGTCCACCTTCTTCAGTTGGCTTAAACCTCTCCTGTAGAGCCTTATCAAGACCTCTCAGGATGGTTCGTCCCTCATAGCTAGGGATTAGAGCTGTTAGGAGTGGGCCCACAGAGAAGTGAAGTCAACCACTGATTCACTGAGTGACTTTGGGAGAAGTAATGAACCTGATGACCCTCAGCTCCCCATATATAAAACAGAGATGACATAGATGTTTTGCAAGATTGTTGTGAAGATGAGAAATAACATATGCAAAATTTTAGCATGGTACCTGATACTGACTCCACATAGAAAATAAAAACTCTAGGGCAGAAGGGGGGGAAGACATGTGACATATGTGTAGTGTGTTACCATGTCTTAAGCCCAAAGCAAAGTTCAGTACAAGTGAACTCATTCAAGTATCTGGTGTCTGATGGAGCACTATCCTCTCAATCAGGTCAGCAGACGCTATGGGAGCAAGTTCCAGTGAGAAAAGGGTTAGGCCATCAAGTCTATGATGAGAAGTGAATGGCAGGCAATAGTGTGGGGTATAAAATGACAGACAGAGCAGGAAAGCCAGGGGCTACAACCTTAAGCAAGATGCTTGGAAGCAGGGAATAGATTGGGTGTTGTATGGAGAATGGGGCAAGAGGGTGGAAACAGGCTGACAATGGCAGGAGAAGGGCAGCTTGGAGAAGAGGGAAGTGAGGCCAAAGATCCAGGCTGGATCTACGGCACCTTTAGGCTTTCACACTGTAGGTGACTCATTGCTAAGAGTACATGAGTTTGGTGTTATTTTCCCACCTAAAAAAGAACCTGAGACCCTGGGGGCTTGGCCGCACCTCAGGCTTCTCAGGTTCCATCAGGCTCTTTAGCATGGCACTGGACACTTGAGTGCTTAATAAATAGTCTCCTTTCAGAAACATTTATTGCTTCTAAATGAGCTCACGATTTTTTCATAAGGCTGATTGTTATTTATCATTCTGTAAATTGTTACCAGAAAAACACTTGACTTAAAATAAAAATGAACTTAATACAATGACCATTCTACTGCTTGAGTGAAAAAGCAAGATGGGGGGAAATGAGAAAGATTTTTCCTAAAATGAAATGATAATGGTTTATAAAGAAGAGATCTAGCAACTGCATTCCAGGGAGGGGATGAGCCAGGGTCTCACTCTGTACCCCAGGCTGGCCTGGTCCTCACTATGTAGCCCAGGCTGACCTCGAACTCATGATTTTCCTACCTTACCCTTCTGAGTACTAGGATTACAGATGTGTGACATCATGATCGACTCAACAACTGCCATTTTAAGAAATACGGAAACATCACACAGAGAAAAAGAATGTCAGTCGACACAACTTTTGAAACGGGTGGTGACAGATTTGCAGTTAATATCAACCCTTTTTATTTTTGTTTTATGGTTGATACAGATGCCTTTTAATTTATGCATGTATTTATTTATTTTTGTCTTTTTGAGACAGAGTCTCCCTGTAGTCCCATCTGGTCTAAACTCACTATGTAAACCAGGCTGGCCTCAGTCTCAGAGATTTCCCTGCCTCTGTCCCCTGAGTGCAAGGGTTAAAGGTGTGTGCCACCACATCCAGTTCCTATTTTTCTTTTTAAGCAATACTTTGTTAACAATTTGATAATTTCATACTGTATTTTGATCATACTCACCCCTTCTCCCATCTCCTCTCAATCCCCTACTTCTCTAGCCCCCTCAACTTCCTGTCCTCATTTTTTTCCAAAATCTTTTTTTAAAAGTTTAGATGTTTTGAGCTGGGCATGGTGGTACACGCCTTTAATCCCAGCACTTGGGAAGCAGAGGCAGGCAGATCTTTGTGAGCTTGAGGCCAGCCTGGTCTACATAATGAGTTCTAGGATAGCTGGGACTAGAGGGAGACCCTGTTTCAAAAAAGACAAAAAAAAAAAAAGTTTAGATGTTTTATTCAAGGATCCAGCTATGGGAGCTGGAAAGACGGCTCAGGAGTTAAAAGCATTGGCTGCTCTTGCAGAGGACCTTAGTTTGAATCCCAGCACCCACAAGGCGGCTAACAATTGTCTATAACTCCAGTTCCAGTGGATCCAACACCCTGTTCTGCCTTCTTTGTGTACTGCACAACAATGGTGCACTTGTATACATGCGGACAACACACCCATATGCATAAAATGTAAGTGAATTTAAAAAATTAAAATTAAAAACATTCAGCTATGGAAGAAATGTATCTTAGGCAATCAGATATGTACAAAATGTTTACTTAGTAACGTTATTCACTGCAAACTATCTATAATAGAAAGAGGAATGTAAATATCAGTATCCAACAATAGAAACTAGTTTAAAAACTCAGAGAGAAAAATTCTTTCTGCAGAGTGAAATAGTGTATCAAAATAAAATTATTTAAAGAAAAATAACTATCAATCAAAATTTGTAGATACCAGCATTACGTGGCCTGTGGGTGTAGCTCAGAGGTGGAGTCCCTGTTTCAAATGCATGAAGTTGTGATTCATTCCCCAGAACCAAAATAGAAACATTACGTGTGCAATTAGAACAACGCACATCAAATATCAACCAAATTAAATAATGGGTGGTAGAATTAAGGGCAATTTTCTTTTATTCCTTGTATTTTTAGGATTTGCCAAATACATAACTTAGTACTACTTTTTAATTAGCAGGTGGGGGGGCACGTTTTTTAAGACTCACAAAACTCTGTACACTTTTGCAAATTGAAGTTGGTGGTAAACTGCTGCTGCTGAGGAGCACAAGATGTAGAGGCCTTTCCACTTGGCTGGTTCCTTAGCTGCAGCTGAAGAGTCTAATCCCACTTGTGCCCATTTGTTTCTGGAAATTTTGTTTAATGGAAATTCAAAAGCAGAACAGTGTAATGAGGTCTCTGATC